AACAAATATAAAAAAAAAAAAAACACCTGGAGACAGGAAGTGACGTTTTTTGGAAGGGGGAGACTTCTGCACGAGGGAACCCATCTTCCCCTTCCCCTCTAGGAAGCCCGACTCGGTGCAAAACCCAAATGCAAAAATACTGTGATGCCTTTACTTAAAAAAAATCACCATACAATACACTTCATCAGGTGTGCACCAGTGTACTCCTTGGGATATTTATTCTTACCGGGAAGAACCGTCCCATCTGGGTTTCCAAATTGTTTTCGCTCCTACAGCATTTCCAACATCCTTTGTTTGTTTGTTCTTATGTACTTGCTCAGTAAATGTATTTATTTATTCTATTTATATCCCGCCTATCTGGTTTAGCAACCACTCTAGGCGGCTTACAGACACATGAAGCAACAAATAATTATAACCAAAAAAAGATTATTATTTTTAAAGAGACTCCGGTGGGTGTTTTGGAAGCGACTTTTTGAAAGTTGCATTGTTTTTCATCCTCTGCTTTTCTAAATTGGTGGCAATCTCTTTAAATCATATGTTTGTAGCCAAGACAGGCTTCTGGCAGGGCAAAACTCATCGCATTCTGCTGCTGGAGGAGGAAAAGTTCTGTGTATGGGGAAGTTGTCAAAGGGCAGGAAGGTGGAGGAGAACCTGGACAGTTAAACGTGGCAAGGGTGGTGGGGGAAAGGGATTCGTTTGAAATAGAGTCCTTTGTAAACAGCCAGACAGAAAGAACTGGGCATTTTTAGCCTTGAGAAAAGGGGATCAAAGGGAGATAGGATAGCACTTTTCAAATACAGTACTTGAAAGGTCGTCATACAGAAGAGGGGCAGAATCTGCTCCCGATCATCCCAGAGTTCAGGACATGTAATGATGGGCTCAAGCTACAGGAAGCCAGATTTAGGCTGAATGTCAGGAAAAACTTCTTAACAGAGAAGTACGACACCGGAACCCATGACCTCGGGAGGTGGCGAACGCTCCAACGCTGGAGGCATTCAAGAAAAAGCTAGACAGCCATCTTTGTCAGATCTGCTTTGATTTGGATTCCTGCACTGAGCAGGGGGTTGGACTTGATGGCCTTTTAGGCCCCCTTCCAACTCTGTGATTCTATGAATTCCAAGGAAGATGTAAGACAGTTGGATAGGATTATATTCTCCCTGAAAACCCAGGTCCGCAATTTGAGTGTACAGTACTGGATTATTTCCACAGAGTCTGGATGCCCAAGTCTCAGAAGTGTCCAGAAGTACATCTGCACAGTTAAAATGGGGGTGCCAGCTGTACCCATTTGTTGAGACATCTGATTTGGCTACAGTGACACATGCCTTTGTTACATCCTGCTTGGATTACTGTAAGACGCTCTACGTGGGCCTCCTTTTGAAGACTGTTTGGAAACTTCAGCTGGTTCAAAATACAGCTGCCAAACCGCTGACTGGGGCCAGTTAGAGGAAGCATATAACGCCCCTGCTACAACAACTGCACCAGTTACCAGTCCATTTCTGAGCCCATTCAAAGGCCGGTTATTACATATAAATACAGCTTGGGTCCAGGCTACCTGAAGGACTGTACAGTTGTGCCCCGCTGGACGATTACCCCGCTCTACAATGAATCTGCATTACGTTGACGTTTTTGCGATCGCAAAAACATGTTTTAAATGGGGGAATTTCGCTTCACGCTGATTGGTTCCCTGTTTTGGGAACCGATTTTTCACTTTACAATGATCAGCAAACAGCTGATCATTGGATTTCAAAATGGCCCCCGGCTTTCAAAATGGCCCCCCGCTGTTTTCTAGGACGGATTCCTCGCTATACAGGCACCGAAAATGGCCGCTGTATGGAGGATCTTCGCTGGACAAGCAGGTATTCAGCCCATTGGAACACATTAACCGGGTTTTAATGTGTTTCAATGGGTTTTTAAAATTTCGTTTGACGATGTTTTCGCTCTACAGCGATTTCTCTGGAACAAATTAACATTATCAAGCGACGCACCACTGTATCTCCTCATAGGAGCCTTCCCAGCCCTTAAGAATATCAGAAGACCCTCTTCTTGCTCCCATTGCCATCACAGGACATGATGGAGAGCTTCCTCTGTGGCTGCTCCCAGATTATGGAATGTCCTTCTTCGGGAAGTTTGGTCAGCATCACCTTCCCTTTTATCCTTCTGATGATAGTTGAAGGCCCACTTCTCCAGGCAGGCATTCAGTATCATAACTGAGGCACTGAATGCTGCTTTTTAGCAGAGTTAGTTTGTTTTTAAAGTTTTAAATGTTTTTAATTACTCAATGCAATTTAAGTTCAGTTCTTTTTAATGTGTAATGTATTATGTTTTAAACTTTTTTTAGCACTGTGAGCCACTCTGAGTCATCCCCCCCCCCCTTGGGACAAAGGCAGCCTATTAATAAGGCCATCCGGTGAGATTAATTTAAATGCTGGCTGGCTATCATTGAGAGTTTGGCAGCCCATGGCCCATGGGCTCCTTTTCACTATCCACAAACCCCTTTCAGCAACCAGCCCTACAACTGCCACCACAGTTGCAGCTGTTTTGCAAAACTTCAATGGAGAAAGCCTTTGGAGGTCCCTGTATCAGTATAGGTACTGCAGAGATGTGTCAGCAGTCAGTCCCATAATAAGCTCACATGAAGGCAAGAGACAGGCTCTTAAAATCAAACAACTAATTTTACTAAAAAGTAACACTCCAGATAGAAAAAGCAAAAAACTGAATCTGAACTAGATGGATACAGGATCCATGGAACACGGTGGAGAGGAGAGATAGCAGGTCCACTCCTTTGAGAAGCAGAAGAGAAAATGGAGGATGTGAAAAGCATGATTGACAGTCAGACTCTGAGAATAGGAATCTAACAATGAGTAAGAGGCTGGAGCATCAAAAGGAGTAAACAAGTCACATCTGACCATAGTCAGACTCTGAGAATAGGAGTATCAAAAGGAGTAAACAAGTCACATCTGACATCTACTCTCAAATCCCTCTCCTGGTTCCTAGGGCTAGATAGGTGTGCTGTGGTGTCCACCCTCGTGCCCCTTTCTTGACCATCAAAACTTAGAGCACAAGAAGGCAAGCAATCCTCTCTTTTACCCTGGCGCCACCAGGCGATCACTAAATCACCATTACAGTGGGGCCTTGACTTAAGAACAGCTCGAGTTAAGAACATTTTGACTCAAGAACCACTCTCATAGGAAAATATTGACTTGACTTACATACTTAGATTTGAGCTAAGAACTGAAAAAAACCCACGTGGGAGGCAGGGAAAGTGCAAAATTTGAACTTTCAGTTAACTGTTGGCCAGTGAAAAGGGTGCCTGTCTGCTTCCTCCCTCCTCCCAGCGTTTAGAGAGTGGATTGGGAGACAGTCTTCAGACTGCCTGGTACTGCCTGGACTGTATTTTCCCTGCCTTCCGTGAACCTTTCTTGACCTAAGAAAAAAAGAAACAAAATATCCCCCTCTAGTGGTTGAAGGCGGAATAGCAGCTTCCCATTAGTTTCTATGGACGGAAAAGAGCAGATACGGATCAAATGGTTTTCAATGCATTCCTATAGGAAATGCAGATTTGACCTGAGAACTTTTTGACTTGAGAACCGCCTTCCAATACGGATTAAGTTCTCAAGTCAAGACCCCACTGTACTTCAGGAAGATGAAGATTCAGGTCCACACTTCAAAGTCTTTTAAATATAACTTTTGTTTATTGATTACAGAAATTGATAGTGATTCATGAACATCTTTGAGTAAATTTATTATTAACAACAACCTTGTATTTGATAATACACTCCTAACTTTAATCACATCTCAGAATTCCCCAAACTCCACACTCTATCCACTTCTCTCTCTCCCCCTACTCATACCCTGACTCTGACTCTCTCTCTCTCTCTCTCTCTCTCTCTCCTACCTCTCTTAGG